GTCTAAAAAGTTGAGGCCCTTATCACCGACGATAACGCAAAACTTTCTTCTGACGTCACACCTCGCCGCGACGGGCTTATTACGCGTACCTGCTAAGTACGTTCCTCCTGATTCTTTGGCTTCACTGCATTAGGTAACCAAAAGCAGTCTAAAAAGTTGAGGCCTTATCACCGATGATAACGCGCAACTTTTTTCGGACGTCAGACTTCGCAGCCATGGATGTACTGGACGTTTCTTCAGAGCTAAAAGTTTCCCTGATGTGTTGGCTTCACTGCAATGGGGGACCAAAAGCAGTCGAAAAAGTTAAGGCCGTTATCACCGAAGATAACGCCCAACTTTTGTTTGACGTCACACCTCGCCGCGACGGGCGTATTACGCGTCCCTTTTAAGTTATTGTCCTCTGATGCTTTGGCTTTACTGCAATAGGTGGCCAAAAATGGTCGAAAAAGTTGAGGCTCTTATCACCGATGATAAGACCCAGCTTTTGTCTGACGTCCCAGCTCGCAGCGATGGGTGTACTAGACGTTTCTTCCGAGCTAAAGGTTCCATTGGTGCATTGGTTTCACTGTAATGGGTGGGCGAAAGCAGTCGAAAAAGTCCAGGCCCTTATCACCGATCATAAGGCCACGTCACACCTTGAAGCGGTCTCAGGCGCTTTTTTTCAACGATGTCATGAATCACCCAAAACAGTCTCACGTGGTCTGCGTTGTTAGAAAGCCCCTTTGAGCCACCGTTTGTGGATATACAACACTTTCTTCATTTCACAGCAGAGGTGTTATGCTTTAGGTTCGCTGTGTGTCGCAGATATAAATTGTCTTCGTCATACGGAACGCGTTCTTTTCATGTTTTTCTGCCTTGCTACCAAAACATGCGTGCTGAGCTACCTGACGTGGGATGCAATAACTCTGGTGGGTCAGAATAAGAGTGCTGAAAAAAGAAAAAAAGCAAGTAATAGAAAAAGAACGTTTTGAGAAAAAGATTTCTCGTTGAGGCGAAATTCGAACCAGTGAACCCGTGATCCAAGGTCGAGCATTGAAACCACTCGGCTGTTCATGCACGCAGAACTGTGCAGCATAGCCTTATACTGTACAGTGTACTGAGAAAGTGGAAAATCGAAGTCATGGTGGGGAGGAGGAGGAAGAAAACAAGGAAGGTAGAGTGAATGTACACATTCGACAGAAATCTGTCTGGTTGGCTATGAAACGGGGAGATGATTTAGACTCCAACCAAAAGCTTTGAAGAAACCCGACGTTTCAATTTGATTGATTGATTTGTGGGGTTTAACGTCCCAAAACCACCATAAGATTATGAGAGACGCCGCAGTGGAGGGCTCCGGAAATTTTGACCCCCTGGGGTTCTTTAACGTGCACCCAAATCTGAGTACACGGGCCTACAACATTTCCGCCTCCATCGGAAATGCAGCCGCCACAGCCAGGATTTGATCTCGCAACCTGCGGGTCGGCAGCCGAGTACCTTAGCCACTAGACCACCGTGGCGGGGCGACGTTTCGAAACCGACTTGGTTCTTTGCTCAGGGGTGACTGCGGGACTACATAGCAGCAGCGTCTTCGGAACCAAGTTGGTTTCGAAACGTCGGGTTTCTTGAAAACTTCTGGTTGTAGTCTAAATCATCTCCCAGGATAGATTGATTATGACAAGATAGAGAAAGACAAATACAAGTAAAGAAAAAAGTGACAAATAAAGAGAAGAAGGGCAGCGAATGAATGACGTAGAGAAATGTACTGAAAAAAAAACAGACACGGAAATATAGTAAAATGAGAGCAACCATAGCCACTATAGCATCTTATAGCAATTAAATAATTATTGAAGGTTAACGTACCGAAATCACCATGTGATTATGGCAAATTGAATAGTGTAGCGTTGGAAAATAGTGCCACCTGGGGTTTTTCAACGTGCGCCTACGTACACGGCCCACAAGCTTTTCAGTCTCCACCGAAAATGTGGTTGCCGCGGTGGGAATTATGTCTCGCGACCGTTACGAGTCAGCAGTCGAGAAGCATAACCCCAAGACCCCCATGGTGGATCTAGTACACCAAAGGGTAGGAAAGGAGAGATGCGAGGATGAAAGCCTAGTCAAACGAGCACCAGTGAGGCAGCCACCAGTCCTGCTTTAGTCTAGGCTTGAGTGACTTGGGGCAAGCTGAGCTGATTTTTCCTAGATAACGCCATTCTACCTCTGAACGCATTGTAGCAATTTATTGCGGTGGCATAGGCTGACTATTCAGGTTTCGAGGGCCCTCCACAATCAGTAATGTCGAAATACGACAAAGCTAGGAGAAGTCGCAAGACACGAAAAAAGTACGCATGAAATGTTGGAGGCATTTGTCGTGCCAGCGACCTCCTTGGACTGCGTTAATCGTTTGTTGTTAGTTAGGCAACAGTCATCGTTCATGTAATAGTTTGAAGTAGAGCTTATTAGAACCAATGCCCATTTCGTTCAATATTTATTTGTTTGTTTGAATTCACTTTCAATTTCATCTCGTTACATCACAAATACACCAAATATTATGGTCCGTTAAGGCAGCTTGAACGTCCAAGAAACCTTCGCGTTTAACAGTCCGATGTTGCTACTGGCCTGCATATTTTTATGCATTCCAACAGCAAACATTATGACTCTGTATATGCACAACACGAATTGTGCATAAACTAATACCCATACAAATATAATTCCTATATTAATGGTAGAAACGAATACACGTTTGTACAAGATAACGAAAGCTACCATAAATTGCATCGAAACATCGTTGGGCTACCATAATTGTCTCTACGCAGCTGAGAAAATGAGGCTGCTTGTACTCATTCACTTCAAGCACGCTATCTGATCAACATGCCCGGCGGGCACTCAAGTCGGTGAAATGACACGTGTGCAAGGCCACTACATTTAGTTTTGTTCGTTTATCTGATATTGATGAATTTCTCAGGTATCGGTTGATCAGTGGAACTGAAATAAAAAAAGATTTGGCACGTGTTCGTAATCATAAGCTTGCGAAGGGCTCCCCTTCAGAGAGAGTGAAGACTCTTCACAGTGCCCCCTCCCCATTAGGTCAATGTGTGGGGCCTATTTAGCACGCTCTCGCATACACTCATAGATGACTAGGGGGCACGACTGCCATCTACATCTTCCCCCCGCCCTCGTCAGCTGCCAGTCATGTTACTCTGGTATCCGCAGTTCCGTAAATCGGACAAGGAGAAATTTCGAAATTCCTCGATGTGCATGCTTCATCTCACTGTAGACGAGTCTGAATTTTATATCAATACTTTGACATGGGCACTTTCGCGAAAAGTCGTTAGTAGTAATTTTGCTTCGCCAAACTCCAGGATACATAATACAAAAAACGCAATATGTACTCAACAATTTGTTGAACTCAATTTGTTGTAACTGTTTACTTATTTATGCGAATGTTCTGCTTTCTCGAACTAGTGAACGAATGTAAGAATCCAGTGTAATGCTGGATCTGAAGGATACAACAAACAACAGTGTAAACAGCACACATTAGAAACTTCATAAAGTACAAACCTGCTGCTGCTCCAGTGGCTTGTCACTTTGCGAGGTTCCTATGATGAACTAAATTTATTTTGCTCTTCTTTGTTCCACGCGGGAGTGGGTGAAACATGAAATACAGTTCAAAAATGGAAAGAAATGAAACAATATTCATTGAACAAAGAAATGAATGCTCACAAATATGAGCAATAAATACGCGCGCTCATGCTTTGACACGCTCTGAACATAAACAGGAAAATAAAGAAAGGCAAACGATGTTCAGAAGTGCGCAGGCTCAAGAGGCTGCATATAAAGTTGAGTGACACCATAAACTTTATTACCAGTTGAATTCTCAGTTCTGCATTGATAGATGAGCAGTTTACAGCAACATCAGGCAGCATACTCCGATATGAAAATACCAAGCTAAAATAAAAAAAAAATATTTGTAAGAGTTATTACTGGTTTGTTGTCATGTTACTTCAATACGGTTCAGCCTGCGTAAACAATCAATAGCGCGACAGCATTTCTTTCAGAAGTTTCCTTAAGATATGAAGATCTTCCCACGCCTAAATGAAGGGTCCTGGAATTACTGAAATGTTATGGCGCATAAAGGGACCCAGACGGATAGGCCGACAAAGAAATTAGCTAGAAATAATCTTTCCCTCTCTCTTTCTCTGACCGTCTCGGAGGCCATGCAGATGCTGCCAGCTGTGACGACACCAATGTTGGCGCGCATACCGTATGCCACCGGGCGTCTGGCAATCTTGGAGGCCATATCCGGTTTTGTTGTCTCTCAATAACAACCACAGCTGGCGCCACAATACCAAAAACACTCAAAGCCCACTGAGTGCATGAGGACGTTTAGACAAATTCTATACAAATTTAACAAATTAATTACCTGCTGACGTGCACGTGAGGAGGCCACATTTGCGCGCTCATTTTCGCACTACACTGAAGGGGTCACAATCTGCAGTTAAATGCTTTTTAATGTGTATATGTAATAAGAAGCCGACAAACGAACACTAAAATATATGCTTCGCCCCAAAGGAAATGGATCGTAGAACGAAACTTGGCAGAAAATAAAATAAGTGGACCAGTATTGCATCGTGTCAGGGTTGATCAAATATCAGCAGGTATCAGAGTCATTGCCAGAAATGTTTTTTTTTTTTTTTGGAGAAGAGGAAGAGGGGAGGGGGCGCAATTATCATTTATGATTGTCAGTGTGTGTATAAACACCTGCAAACAGAAGCTTCTCCCCCCCCCCCCCCCCTTTACCAGTGCACTATGAATAACTGGATTTTCTGTTTGATTTAATAAATGCAACATACCAAATGTGCAAGTTCGCCAGGTCAATCAAAGTTGACGGTTTCTTCAGCCCTTCATGCATTTATTAAGGAATAATTGCGCTGTACTACTGAAATCTGACGATGATATCTATTTTCAGGAAACGCTGCACTTTTTTATGGCTTCACTGGTTTTTTTTGTTTTAATTTTTTTCTTTTCGTATACATCAATCTATAACATGAAATTCCAGAATCAGCATGTCGTCGACCACGTATCCAACACGCTGGTCTTCGAGCTCTTCGAAGAGGATGAACTTCTCTCGGCCGAACAGAGTGTTCCACATGTGCAGCGGACGACTCGTGGAGCGCCGCCGGTCCTGGCCCGAGACGCAGAACTCGAACGTGTGGTCGACGTGGTCGACGCCCTCTCGCTGGGACGCCACTCGGATCAAACACTGCACGCGGACACATGCTACGTTTACCTTATTGTATCTACGAAAAAAAAAAGATGTTTCAGAATAATATACAGTCAGTTACGAACTAAGAAAAAAATGACGACACCGCTCGTAGCCATCGCTGTGCCTTCCATGGAAAAATGCGCCAACCAAAATCGCTTACTCATTTTCGAGACGTCAGACACTTCACGAGGGGGCCAGATTGCTTACTTTCTCCACTGGCACGTTCTTTGCGCTGTTCGGAATTCGTGAAACCGGCGTGTTGCTGAGGCCTACGTCATGACAGGCGGATTTTTCGTTATTCAAGGCTGAAACAAACTACAAGCACTTAGCAATGTGTGACGCCTGGTTGTGATTTTACTCTTCTATCAAGCTATACTATGTCAACATGATTCTTTGCCCGACATGACGCCTGCATAGAGTATTTTCGATAAAAGATCTCAATCACCAGCGTGGTCATGTGGTATAATATTTGACTGCCACGCAGAGGGTCCAGGCACGAAGCCCGTCCGGTCCAGTATATTTTTTTCTTATTTTGCGCACTAGCGGCTACGGGCACCGGCGCTGGTGACGAGCAACCACGGTCTGAAATCGGCTGTTGATGCATAAATATTTTAGCTGTAAAAGACATTTGCTTCAAAATACGTCGCTGCTAATCGAACAGATTGGACAGAAAACATTCAAGGGCTTTATTACAGCATTAAACCTTGACCGGGACTCGAGCTAAGAAGTTCGGCATATTCTGGGTTTCATGAAAATGTATGCAGCGTCAAGAGGCGGCGCTATTGACGTTCCTTATAGGGCCAAGAGCATCATCGAAACTTGGCAAATGCTTTAGTCTATGTGCGTGTCACTGTATGTGCTGTTGCGTTTATCAGTGTATATGCCATGATAATCTGCTGGCACTACAAGTATTATGTCAGGCGAAAAGCCAGGCTAACATCTCCAGAATTTTATTTAAGCATTCCTCTGTCTGATTGCGTGCTCCAACACTCCATAACTTAATTCGTCAGACGTAAAGGTCAACTGGTTTACTTTTTTGAAGCTACCATTTTCAATTATTCTCGCTGAAATAGCATTAAAAAACCATTGAATTCTAAACTCTTGTGTCATGTGCTGATTCTGACTTTTTGGGGAACGTACTAGCCAACCAACTCGAAGCAAGACATATAATTAGCAGTGGCAAATCATTGTATTCGTCACTTAGAGCTAGAACTATCAATCGAATCACTGAGTGTATGAATTTGTTGATTGACTTAAAATATTTGAAGCTAACACACCGAAAATTAGCACAATAGCAAATCGCTATATATATATATATATATATATATATATATATATATATATATATATATATATATATATATATATATATATATATATATATATATATATATATATATATATATATATATATATATATATATATTAAACAACAAGCGATCGTTGTTGTCAGCAAGATGGATGAAAAAAATTGTCACACGATGTCAGATCCCTCCCACGTGATCCTTGTGTCAGATCGCTGAAATTTGTGACGTCAAAATGACGTCATAGTTGATAGTTGCGTAATAACATAACATCGTCATTTGGTGATAGAAAAATTGACACCGGAAGTACGTGACGTCCAGAAGGCCTTCAATGTCTCCGATCACGAAGGCAATGCAAGGTCACGCTGCGTGCAAAGAGCTTTCGGACCTAGAGGGATCAATACAATCGACTGATAAGAAAATGAAAAGAAGATTGTTTTCACCTTCGAGTTATATCGGGTGAATCTTTGAAAGACAGAGTTCTTTGTTTTTGTTTTCAGTTCTTTTCTTTTATACTCGCTGCCCAAAAAGCTCACCCTAGTTTTCTTGACACAGCAGCTGTCCATCCTGGCCAGGTCGACAACCTTGAACTGGACGAAGAAAGCCATATGGGTTCCGGCCCCGCCACCGACGCCGTACAAATTAACCTGCAGCCTAAACTTGCAGCCAGCCAGGCCGAAGAAGATGGGCTCGCTGAGACAGTCATCGCGGCGCGAGATCGCATGCCGGCGAAGTCGCCGGTACGACTCCAAGCACCAGATGAACGACGCTCCAGTTCGACGCAGTAGCGCCGCCGTCTTCCGCTCCTGAATGCTCTGAAACAAATCACCAGTGATGACTACTTAAAAAAAGCCGCTGCACAGCAGAAAAAGGGGAAATACAACGGAGACGGGGCTGTCCATCTGCGTTGCTGCAACTCAATTCGTGAACCAACCAGCCTGAATGTATACTTTTATGAAAGGATCTGTCATCAAGAGATCGAGAGCGATAGGAGGAGTTCCTCTTCCAGAATGTACTTAAAGAACACCGCTCTTTCATAGATGAATTTGGAATCATTAAGCAGCAATTTTTGTTGTAGTTGACAATGCTTTCTATATTTCGAAAATCGAAATCCGTAGTAGAGAGAGAAATATTTTAATAGGGACCTGAAGAGGCATGCCTGGTTTTTTAGGCAAACCTCCTCATTAACAAAACTTTGACAAAAAACTCTTCAACTAAAGGCTTTATGCCACCCATTGCGATTCATGAATTGTTGCCGGGGGCTCTGCAAAGGCAAATCAGCAGTGAACGAATCGCCTAGATGCGTTCAAAGGCTCGCATAGCAGAAACGACTATAAGCTAACGATGTTTGTAAGAAAAGGCTTCAGCCAGTATAGACGCGTGGCATGCTGTTGCCGAATATAACTGACCAATGACAAAAAATACTTACCAAAAAAATAAGACTAATTCGGCCAAGCTTTCTGTACATATACCATCAAGCTTTCGTTAACAATACGTCTTAGAAGTCGAATTCCGGTTAGAATTCCAGTTTCATGACGAAAATCAGCGTGCACTTAGAAAGACATAATCTAAACATTATTCGTTATGTGTATTATACCTCGTGCATTAACACGACGGGCACAATAAAGCTAGTAATGAAGCGTCAATGTTTCATCTGCGGCATCCCTGGCATCCGCGTCATTTAGCCATGAAGTGCACGCTAGAACGGCAGATATCAATGATTTTCGTCTAATAAGTGACAGGCTGCAAATCACTAAGGTTTTCTGAAATATTGAAATTGTTGCGCACCTGAGAAAGCTTTAGTTCGGCTATTTCTCTCATTGCAGCGTTCAGTAGTCTCCGCAGTTCTTTGAGTTCAGAGTCCGAAGTCATGCTGTCACTTTTCGACTTTTTCTTCGAGGCTCCTTTGCTCTTTGGAATGACAGATTTCTGCAACAATGGAAGCAACACAAGTGGCAAGCATAAATTGAGATAGGGTGTGCTGTATATCTTATACAAGGAAACGGAGATCAGCTGCAGCCTCGATGCATAACGATAAATCGGGATATGATACGAACTGGAGTTCTGTTTTGTTTTATTCATTAGCTCCTCACACTCTCTAATTGTTTTAACAAGTAAATTACAGCCGCGTTCACTGATGTGTTTCCAGATTTTCAAACTATACAAGCCTATCTACAAACTATACAAACTGTATACAAAGTGTACAAACTATAAAGACCTGTAAACAAGCAAACACATTCTTTCGATTCACGTGGAACGCTTCTATAGCGATACGCAATGGTCAATTTTATGTTAGATTAAGTGTATTCTCACGAATTTAACTTGAAGAAGCCCCATAACATCTGCTGTTTATTTGGAGAGTGAAGAAAAATTTGAGGCAGGAACGCCAAAGTTTGGAATATTGCATGTGGCTTATTGGCTCGCTGGGATTAGAAATGGATGGACGTCATTGACACCTTTTACGACTAGTTTGAGGCGCTCAGGATCAATGGCTTCCGGCGTATTTCCTATTAACTGATAACTACGGTGGTCGATAGCTTTTATTTGTTGTTTTAAATCTGAGGTTGTACTACGAAAGAAGAAAGCAAAACTGGCAACTCACTTCTTCATCGCCTTTAACGCGGCAGGTCTTGGAGTGTTCCTAAAAAGAAAGTTCATTAAAGAGTTCAGCATTTACAAGAAAAAAGTTCTGCACTATCTTTTGGAAGAAACTGTAGGAAGTAAAACGACAATTTTATGCATAAAAAGTTAGGTATAGATTTCGAGAATTCTTGAGTAAGTTTATTTCCATTTTATTAAAATAGTAAGCAAGTGTGCGAAGACAGCAGGGTTCCACAAAGTAAGTAGCATATCTTTACACCCTTCTTTGAACTTTGTAAGCGTTTTTCAAAACCTTAGGCACTTTCGAAACCAAACAAACACAAGAGCTTTTACAAAGCCTGTTAAAGGGTGTACATGCTATTAGTTGTTTTCTGGAATACTATACAACTACCTGCAATTTTTACGCCTTCCCTCAACAAATATTTTGCCGCAAAGCCTCGCTTTCTTAGAAACAGTGATGGTCGCCTTTCGTGCTGCCAAAGTTTAGAAAATAGGACCCGGCCAAATTCTATGTTTTTTCTGTGAATATAGCTTTCTGTCACTCTCTCTGGATGGTATACATAGGAAAATGATATTCATGTCAGAAAACTTACTTATGAGCAAACGAAAAGAAACTTTATTGACTCGTTTTTTTTATGTTAGACGCAACATGAATGAGGACAACTATACAATGATGCTAAAAAAATGCAGGGTATTATATTTGTATTGATTCTCATGTACACGTAAAGACGAGTAAAGGAATCGAAAAGATAACTTGCCGCCAGCAGGGACCAAACGTGCAATCTTCGATTTCAAAGGCCCCTCCCCCCCCCTTTTTTTTTGAGAACAATCATCGAAACTTTGAACTTCGAAAAGCTTCAAATAATCCCGATTCTGGAAGTTATATTTGTGAAGGGGCTCCCGATATCACGTAAGAAAAATGAATAGCCTTCAGGATTGTGCTCCTGGTGAACTTAGGTAAGTTTGACAACTTGCCCTACAAGGAGTTCTAAAAAAAATGTGCCGAGATTATAACCATGAGTGACAATCAAGTTCTACCTTTGTTTCCTCTGCGAAGATGGCAGCCGAGCAGATCATACATATTACGCTTCTCTTGGGACAAGCGGTGGTGCAGTGCTCTATGAAATTGGTCAAAACGATATCCGCGTTGCACAGGTTGCAGGGAGTTGTTCGATAGGCGCATCTTTCCAGGTGCGGCTGACAGGTTTGGCAAGAAGATATGTGATTATCGACAACAATAACAATTACACCAACACATTTATGCCACATTGACCTAGCACAGACATCCGTCATTAAAAAGTGAACACCACATTGACGTAGCCAGTGGATGAAGGGGAGGGGAGTAAAAACTAATGCCTTCTGAAAAACTTTAAAAATTTGCATGTGTATATATACACACACAACTGCAAACACATGCATAAATATACACAAGAACCGGTAACATCCCCCCTCGCCACTACACCTCTCCGTCCCCACCCCACACACAATACGGACACAAATTTCTGGCTATGCTTTTAGAATACGAAAACGAAAGTGGCGATGGATTTTAGGGCTTGCCTCCTTAAAACGTTTTAGTTTAATTGGTGTACGGAGAGCATTTGGCGCACACTACAGGCCTTCATATTTCTGTGAAAATGTTTAGTACTGTGCCTAATGCAAAACTTCAATCTGGCTTAATGTCTTTTTTGTCCGTGTAATAATAAGTGAAATGCAATGATAAGAACAACAATAATAACGTTTTTTTCATAATCCCGGTGGTACTTGTTATGAATTAAATACAGCAGCATATCATTTAGAAAATGGCCATCTTTCTTTTAATGCTTTCAAAGAATCAGGGAAAACGCCGCTCAAAATACATGAAAACAGTTTTCCTGCATTATCTTCGCGATGACACTCGCAATCACCAAGTGAAGATTGCGCATAAAAACAACAAGAAAATATTTTTTTCCGGCATTGGGCTCATCAATAATTTGTGTTGTGAAAAGAACCTGACAACAAGACGTCATCAGACATGTCGAATGGTCGCTTTTCGAAACATCGATTATACGAAATAATTCTTTGAGATACCAGGCTTCGCGGAAAAGAATGCTTTCTCGTTTCGGAAATAACAGCGTCAAAAGCGACGCTGATGTGGAAAACACGAAGCGTACCTTGAGTTCCGTTTCTGATATTTCCTTGCGGCACCCTCCATTCGGACAGCGCTGCATGCTCGTCCCCTTTCAGGAAGGTGGCCGAGCTTCGTAGTTGAAAAACACAATAAGCTGTCGTATCAATGCTGCTCGAAAGGAAAGTCTTTCATGATCACTTGCCATGATTCACAATGAAGATGATTAAAAATACCGTTCCAGAATTGTTGTTTCGAAGTGAAACTTAGTTATTTCGAATGCTCATTCTATGGCCTCTCAGTCAACTCCGTCTCTGCCGGACTATTCTTGAGAATTTCAACATACCGAAACACAAAAATGTGAAAAGTGGCTCATGTAACGACTGTACTACCAGCTGACTTCACCGTTGATAGTAAAATCATCTTGTGCTTCTCGATTCTTTGCTCAGTGTCTTGCGTTTTGGCTAGTCAAAATCCTCAAGATGTTTACTAACTGACCCCGATGGCAGCTCTTCTGTAAGTCTACGTGATGGCAAGGAGTAAGAACATATAGACACAGTGGCATTGCCGCAGTCGAACCTATTTATAATTACACCAAATCAGTTATAACAATGAAAAGCTGCGGCACGATCAACTTTTGTATGTTTTCTATAGTGAAATAACCCGCTCTCAGCAATGTCCGCATGCCACATCATCGGTTATAACAATGAATTCTGGCTTTTGGGTGTTCGTGCAGAAAAGCAACGGAATTCCGCAAAAACAAAGAATAAAACGAGAAATTCAAGGTGCTGAAACTGGCCTACTACATTAATATTCCCCTGCGCCTCTTCGAAGTCGCAGTATGCTCTACCGCATAGCGATCTCGCATTGTGGACAAACTAACTTTTCAAATCGGTTATGGCGGCGGAGTGGTGGTGGCTTCTATTAACGTACTTTCAGACATGCAATTATCGTAACAATTTCACACTTGGTTGAGTTTTAGCGTACGTAACTTGGCTCTGCGGGGCCTTTGGTGGTCCCATGAAATTGTCCGAATTTTCAAGCACGTCCGAAAAATTGTCAGCTTTGTCATCCTTATGGCTGATGTTTGCTCTGGCATATCCTACCTAATATTATAGTCTTTCCGCAACATTCTGCCGTCGCATATTTCGCTTTTTTCTTGTGCAAGCCATTCATAGCAATTATCAGTTACAACAAAATTTTCGTGGCAGTTCAGTACTGTTAAGTGATAATTGAAAAGTCTGAACCAACTGAGCGAATGTAACAAAATTTTTATTGAATTTGCAGTGCAAAATAAAACATAAATGTTCAAATATTACTCAAATTGTAACTATTATGCCAGACTTAACAACAAGTAATATAACCACTGCGGCTCAGTCGCATGCCGAGCAAAGATATATAGCGGTTTGTTTTTCGTGCAAAGCACGTATACTATGAAACCTAATATTTCAAGCCGGATATTAACGAGTGTGTTAAAGTTATAGATCCAAGTAATTCTTTGTTTACAGATTTCATGTCCGTGTTTAAAATTACTACGTAGCGCATAAGTTTTGCTAATTACAGGAGGACGTCCCTTGGTTTACTAGAAATTTGTGGCGTGAAGCTTGAGACAAAGACAAAAACAAAAAAAGAGACAGATAAGCACCAACTATTGAATGTTTTCCGAGCATGGGTAGATGCGTGAAGTAGTGGCGTCAAACATGTCAGGAAAGCTGTATTGAAGAAGGATAAGTCAAACTCGTCTAAAACAATTCACGCGCCACTGACAAAGGACCAACCCTTCCTTCTAATGTTAAACGCTTCTAATAGTTCCCTCACCTCACGCGGTCGTTAATACACCATCCTGTTTATCCTATGCCTATGTAGGACCTATCACAGCTCAGGGGAATCTCGTAAGCGACACCTTCGGCCCAAAGACTGCAAGGTTTCACGTGCTTCTTTTGCCCCCCCCCCCCCCAAAATCAACGGCTTACTACCCCCCAAATCAACGGCTTACTACCATCACCCTTTCAGGCATCTGCGCAGGCTTGGAGAATTTTCTTGGTTTGCAGCCTTTGCTGCCAATAAACAGTTGGTCATTGGCGCTCACATTTCTCTATATGCTATCCTATGTTCATGTTTCAAGTTTCGTGCCACTTCAAGTTTCGTGTCACTCAGGAAGACATCCCCTTCTACACGGCACTTCATTTCCCAGAAATGCTCTGCTGAATGATTGTTTGATTGATTGATTTGTGGGGTTTGACGCCCCAAAACCACGATATGATTATGAGAGACGCCGTAGTGGAGGGCTCCGGAAATTTCGACCGCCTGGGGCTTTTTAACGTGCGCCCAAACCTGATCACACGGGCCTACAACATTGCTGCCTCCATTGGAAATGCAGCCGCCGCAGCCGAGATTAGAACGATTGTTTACATATAAAGCATTTATCAAGAGTGCATGGAAGACTTCTCACTGGGCTTGCAATCTCAAAATAATTAAGAGCACGCGGGTCAAAGTGCACAGATAAAGTGGGTGTTTTGGTTGATTTGAAACCCTCTGAAAATCAACATCGTCTCGCAGAACGTAATTTATGACTCATCTCATTTGATTAAAAGCCTTTTTAGTGAAACACTTGAATATAGCACAAAATACGCGGCAATGTTTCATTTTTGCTAAATATTAGAAACTAGAAAAACATGCGCTCTACACGCTCTGATTAAGGGACACGTGTTGCTGTATAAGCAAGCGTTGAGCACAGCATGGGTGGTATAGGGTCGTTGTCCCGTAATTTAATCTGCGTTCAGCCGTGCATGCCTTTCCTTGACATGCAGCGTGATCAAAACAATGAATAACACGAGATAAAAGTGCAAACTATAATAACTTACCGCATTGGCTCAGCAGCTTTGGCATCCAACTGCCAAGCATGAATCTCTCCGCGCAAGATAAAAACGAAACTAATATCTGCCGCTGCTGTTTCGATCTAAATCATACTCGCTATCGAAGAGAATATCGTTTCAAACAGCCACGTCGATGCCCGTAACCATATCATGGCAATAGACGCTGTGAAAGTTCTCGCACTATGATTTCGGTAGGTGTCAAAATTACAGGTTACGATAAAAAATAGCCCTTCATATAAGTACGCAAATCAGGCAAATGATGCATCAAACACACCGACACTGTCCATCTATCACAGGTCTCGAAGTTCGTCAGCACACTCCCTCCACTGCGGCAGCAATGACCCCAACTTTCAAGTGTGCTGCCGTATACTAACTTCAGACTTGACGAAGGTACAGTTTCACGAGGTGTAATAAACGTTACAGATTGCTGAAAAAGTGCGTCTTTAGGATTACAGCTTGAAACTCATACACATGAGTTTATGCAAGGTATCATTTGTTGCATAATAACCCGCCACAGTGGTCTAGTGGTTACAAAGTGCTACTGCTGAGCCGAAGGTCTTGAGATCTAACCCAGGCAGGGGTGACTGCATTTTCGGTGGAGGGGAGAACACTCGAGGTTCGTCTACTTAAATTAAGGTGCACGTTAAAGAACCCGAGCTGGTTGCATTTTCTGGAGCACTCTATCTCGGCTTCCCTCATAACATTGCTGTTTTGGGACGTTAAACTCGTGATAACATTGTTACTGTTCCATAATAATCGCACATTTCATTTGTACCCTTAGAAAAATCAAGCACCGCAATCAACTGCACCACAACATCACATCCATCGAGTATATATCGAAAACTCAAATGAAACACAATGTCTGTCTGCAGTGTGTTTTTAAAGGTCAAGCTCTCTGGAACAGCTGTGCTGTAGCATTATGTTAAACGATTTCGCTGCGAGACCCAGACGCTACCTTAAATGTAAACCTGAAAGATGTAGACACCCAGACGTAAACATTCAAGAACAAAAAATAACCTTGACATGCAGCTGAACAAACAGAATAGGAATGAGTTTAAAAAATTAAACTGACCTTCCTTTCAGAGCTAAGCACAGCGCCAGTACGTGATCAAATCTTCATCACTGCACAGGAGATGTCATCCTCTCGTCGGTAAATGCAGCTGATGCTGCTCGGCTTTAGCCCTGACCACTGATTCATGAAAACCTCGCGAGGCGAACGCTACGAACGCAGAATTGACGGCTTGCTCATCATCGCCGAGGCCAGATAAAACTGAGCAACGCCTAAAGTCTGCGCTGATAAAATGTCGCTCGTATTTGCTTTTCCTATTGTTCCAAAGCCCGTGGCCTAGGCGAGATATCGCTTATCGCGCAGTGTTTCTGCGTGCGTCACTGAGAGTTCAGGAAGGAGGTGATAGATTGATATGTGTGGTTTAAGCCCTAACTACATGTATGCGATTTCCTCGCGACAGCAACAAACAACAGCGACGAGCAACAAGATTCGCTGTCACCCAGGCCCATCCGTTGCCACCGCTTGTCGCTTCGAGTGTTTCTGGAAAACTAGAAAAGATAGTTTCTCGCCTGGAAACCAACATGGTGATTTCTGGCAACATGTCTGCGCCCTTGGTCCTCGTTTCCGTTGCGATTTGCTTTCGATGCTTGTTATCCACGTGTGCTTAAATGAATATAAGATATCCGCTGCCTTTTTTACATCCTCATCCGATGCGGAGAAAGAGGGAGCGGCCGTACTTCGCCTTAAGTTTAATTCACGAAAGTTTGTTATGATGTCTCGATGCATTGTAGCAAGTGACAATGTGGTCACTGGCTACAATTAAAAATCGTCATGCGAAGTGCGTCGTAGCCGTCATGCGCACGCTTCTGGGCGCCCTGTCGTGGTTAAACCAAAGATTGCGAGAAAAGAAGGCGGTAAAAAGCAGCTTTTGTGGCTTCCTTGTGTCACAAAAGGCACGAATAAACATGGCATGTTGTCATCGACCTACTTTTAAATTTCTATTCGCAATTTATGGGTATGCACGCGATATTTCCATTCAAGCAACAACGACGCTGTCTCTGACATGCGGTTGCAGCCGTTGCGACGGAGCAAGTTTGTCGATGCCGCTTGTCGCTGTCGATAGGAAATGGCATGCATGCAGTTAGGGCTTTAACTTCCCAAAACCACCATATGATTATGAGAGACACCGTAGTAGAGGGCTTCTGAAATTTCGACCACGTGGGGATCTTTAACGTGCACCCAAATCTGAGCACACGGGCTCACCTCATTTTTGCCTCCATCAGAAATGCAGCCTCCGATGCCGGGATTTGATCCCGCGACCTGCGGGTCAGCAGCCGAGTACCTTAGCCACTAGACAACCACGGCGGGGCAGGAAAGAGGTGTAATTATTAATCTTAATTTTTTTAATGTTTTTGACCTCGCATGTAACTGGTTATGAAGTACCCCTGAAAGTTTTAAATGCTAGACCTCGTATGTGATTGGTGATGAGTGCCACTCATATGGTATGAGAACTTGGCATAGCGCCGAACACGCCAGAGCTTAAGAGCTAGCGATAAGTACATTGTACTCCCCCTGCGTGGGATCTGAATCCGTTGATGTCTGGGGTAATGTGCATGGAACAGCGCTGAAGATTTAACATTGCGACAAAACCACGAAAATTATATATATAGTTCCGCGGCTGCATGCGCACGACTGCCTCGATTGATTGAACTACTTCCTAGATAGGATAGCAAACCGTATGCTTGCCTGATTGACCTTCCTTCCTAGCTATTCGATGGAGGCAAAAATGCTGTAGGCCCGTGTGCTAGAAGCCCAGGTAGTATAAATTTCCGGAGCCCCCCACTACGGCGTCTCTTATAATCACATGGTGCTTTTGGGACGTTAAACTCAACATATCAATCAATCCTTCCTAGCTAACTTAATGCTCATTTCCCCTCTCGAAGAAAGGGCTACTTTTCTCGCTTTACGCTATAAATGTAAATAAATAAATGCTTCCATAAATTTATAAATGTCTATAAACGGAGCTGTGGCAACGACTTACCTGCCAACGTATTTCACCGAGAATACACGCGATCCAGAGGGGTGGCTGGCAATGGCTCCGGCTTCTGTCTTGAATGCAGTATAGTTATCACCCCCTCCCCCGATCGAAGAGACGCCGGATGAGGAGCCCCTCCTCCCCTTCGGCTGCGTCTGGCGCCACCGTACCACATTGCAGTCGGTGTCAGTTTGCGCGAACGGGAACCCGCCGATGTTTGGTTGCAACGGCGACGGAGGCTCACGCTTGCACAACCCGCACGAGATCTCCAACATCCGCTTTCTCGAGTCCGAAGCGACGTAATCTTATAGCGTACGGCGTACTTGGGCCAATGACGTAGTCAGAAACTTTCTTTTTCGTGAGCCGGGGGGGGGGGGAGGTAGGGAGCAACTAACTTTTTGGGTTTAGAATGGACTGTTGGACGAGTTGGAATTCTACAACCAAGAAAATTGCGCGAAAAACGTGGTCGAAGAGCCTTTCCTTTTTCGTCCACGTTTTATGCGCATATTTCTTGAGAAAGCTTACTATGCATTGTTGATTGATATGTGGGGTTTAACGTCCCAAAACCACCATATGATTATAAGAGACACCATAGTGGAGGGCTCAGGAAATTTAAACCACCTGGGGTTCTTTAACGTGCACCCAAATCTGAGCACACGGGCCTACAACATTTCCGCCTCCATCGGAAATGCAGCCGCCGCAGCCAGTAATCGATCCCGCGAACTGCGGGTCAACAGCTGAGGACCTTAGCCGCTAGACCACCATGTCGGGGCGCTATGCATTGTCCTGAGTGCATTTGTATGGGAGCGTGTCTATGTATGCATGCAAAACTGAAATTTTAGCCCACACCCCTCTGCTACGCCAGTAACTGTCCGTCGGAATGTCGTCCGTTTATAATTTGTTCAGCATATAGAATAGGCCAACTGAAAAAGTGCCCCGCCACGGTGGTCTAGTGGCTAAGGTACTCGGCTGCTGACCCGCAGGTCGCGGGATCAAATCCCGGCTGTGGCGGCTGCATTTCCGATGCAGGCGGAAATGTTGTAGGCTCGTGTACTCAGATTTGGGTGCACGATAAAGAACTCCAGGTGGTCAAAATTTCCGGAGCCCTCCACTACGGCGTCTCTCAATCATATGGTGGTTTTGGGACGTTAAACCCCACAAATCAATTAAATCAATCATCAACTGAAAACGTTACAGCATATCCACGGGATTAATGATGGGGAGTGGGGTGAAGTTGGGTCCTGTTATGCCAGCGAGTCCTCGTCAAACGTCCGTGCCTCTGAAAAAGGCAATCTGGGTCAAGGCCAGCCCGCAGTCCGCCTGACGCGAACAACCCAACGGCGTGAACACGCGCGGCGCCTCCCTGGCCCACGTGCATTGAGTCAGCTGCGCACGTGACAGCGAGCCGGCGTCCTCGTGTCTGGTGGTCTGACGCATGGCGCGGCGACCCCCATTGGAGGAATCTGCCCTGACGACCAGCGGCGCTTCTAATTGGACATTTTGGTTGGACCCGGTGCCTATAAAAGAAGCCCTGCGGTGCGTCGCGATCGGAGGTCCTACGAGAGAGGAGTCCCCATGTCGGAGAGCCGACATGTGTGTGAGTCAGCGGTCTTAGGCGAAAGGCTGATCTATGTGTTAGAGAGGAGAGCTCGGCTCTTCGAGTCTCTGTCGGCCCCAGTGCCGAAATTGTAACGCCTCTGTATATATGCTGTACATAAACCTTGTTTAACGCACCGTCGTCTCGTCCGCTCGTCTTATCAGCTCTGCGCAGAAGCAGTCGCGGGCTGAGAAACATACGCTACCAAACGGCTGGTGACCTTCCCGGCGGAGTTGAAAGCAGTGGCGCCTTCGGGGCCGTGTTGGCGTCGCCGTCTTTCGCAACAGTGGTGGCTTCGGCGGGATCGGTCCGTCTTCCGCAACAGTGGTGGCAGCGGTGGGATCGGTCCGTCGTCCGCAACAGTGGTGGCAGCGGTGGGATCCACGGAGGCAGATTCGCAACAGTGGTGGTAGCGGTGGGATCGGTCCGTCTTTCGCAACAGTGGTTGGCAGCTGCGGGATCGGCCGGCGTCAGCGACATCGATGCGGTGAGTGCCTGATGTTTTCCCCTCAGTTCACCAGACTACTCTAGCTCAGGTTGTAGTAGTTTAGAGAAGGGCTGTGTGAAGCATTAGAGTGAGCTTTGATCGTTTCAAGCAAAGTCGAAGTGCTTTGAAACCAAAGTTAATGCGGAGGGGGTAAACACGGGAGAGTGAAAAATTGCTTGCGCGTCTTGCTAGTTGACTTATAGTGGGTACGGCAAGTAAATTGTTAACAGGGGCAAACAGCAAGAGGCTAGTGTGAACGATGGAGAACCTTAAAGTGAAGGAACTCATCGAAATTTGTGAGGAACTCGGCATTACTTTGGGCCGTGCGAAACGAAAGCAAGCGATCCTTGAGATCATGAAGGATGAGGGAGTGTCGGCTGAGGAAGTCGATGAGGCCTGGGTGGATATTAAAGCACGCCGCGAAGAGGCTGAAAGGCGAGAAGTAGAAGCTCGCGAACGTGAAGAAGCTGAAAGGCGCGAAGCTCGCGAACGTGAAGAAGTTGAAAGGCGCGAACGTCGCGAGCGCGAGGAGGCCGAGAGACAAGAGCGCCTAGAGTTGAAACGACTAGAATTGGCAATCCTACAGTGTTCGCAGGCGCCTAGCGTAGCTTCTCCAACAGTTCAGGTCAGCGGTTTTAGAATTCGGGACCAACTGCCACCGTTCGTAGTAGGCGAGGACATGGCGAAGTATCTCGTCAAGTTTGAACACGTCTGTGAGCGAAACGCTTTGGAGCGGTCTCTTTGGGCGCAGAACCTGTTAGCTCTTCTTCCCGGCGAAGTGCCCGACGCGATAACTTGCTTGTCGAGGGAAGCGTTTGAGAGCTATGACGAGGTCAAGGAAGTGCTCTTAAGACGTTATAAGCTGTCACCCGAGGCTTTCAGGCAAAGGTTCGGGTATGCTGAAAAGGGGAATGAGTCACACGTTGACTTCGCGTTTCGTCTTAAAGCCGATTTGATTGAATGGCTCAAGGGCGAAGGTGTTTATGACGACCGCGATAAAGTGGTGGAATGCGTTGCATTGGAGCAATTCTACCGCTGCATCGAGGATAAGGTCAGACTTTGGCTGCAGGACAGACTTGGGGAAGTACAGCTAAACAAGGCAGCAGAGTTAGCT